AGCTAGCTAGCTAGCTAGCTAGCTATAGAGAGTAGGAAGCCCAGGGAGGTGAGTTTACCAGATATTGTTGGTGGCAGCTGTTGCTGCTGTTGCTGCTGCTGCTGCTGCTGCTGCTGCTGATTGTTGTTGTTGTTTGCTGCTGTATCTTTGCTGCTGTTTATTGATAATGTTTGTTTGTCTGTTGTTTAGGGGTTGATATTCTTTATTAATTGTTTTTAAGCAAAAAATAATAAAATTAGCAGCCGAGTGCAGCGACGAAAGAACAGCAAAAGAAAAATTAAAATCAGCAGCCAGCTGCTGCATGCACCAAATGCGGTGCAGACGACCCTCCAACATCTGCTGCTGCTGCTGCTGCTGCTGTTGATGCTGCTGTTGCTTCTGATCATGCTGCTGCTGATCATGCTGCTGCTGTTGCTGCTGCTGATCATTCTGCTGCTGTTGCTGTTCTTGCTGCTGTTGCTGTTCTTGCTGCTGTTGCTGTTCGTGTTGCTGTTGTAGGTGTTGCTGCTGCTGCTCCTCGCATTGCCGCACCCAGGCCTCCTCTATGAGGTGTATCTTTGCTGCTGCTGCAGCAGCAGCTGCTGCTGCTGCTGCTTTTGCCGTTTGCTTTTTTATCTGCGGATAAACAAAAATGATTAAAAATAATAAAAAAACAAACAAAGTAAAAAACAAAATAAACATGCTGCTTTTGCTGTACTTGTTGTTTGTCTTACTTTGTCTTGTGATTTATAGTTGAAGGTTTTATCTGCATCTGGCTGCTGCTGCTGCTGCTTCTGCTGCTGCTGCTGCTGCTGCTTCTTCTGCTGCAGCAGCAGCAGACCCTCTCCTTCCGCAGAGTCTCGTCTCTTTTTCTCTCTGTCTTCTGTTAAAAATGCATTTACTGCCACCTCCGGCTGCACGTGCTGCTTCTGCTGCTGCTGCTGCTTCTGCTGCTGCTGCTGCTTCTGCTTCTGCTGCGGCTGCTGCTGTTTAGAGACAGTGTGCTGCGCATTTGCTGCTATGTTTTTGCATTCAGTGTTGATGCGGCGGTTGAACGATTGAATAACAGGAAAAGATACAGCAGAAGACCCAAGGGGCAGTGGACGCCTAGCAGCAGCTATTTGCTGCTGCTGCTGCAGCTGCACCTGCTGCTGCAACTGCTGCTGCTGCTGCAGGTTTCTTCCTGAAGCCAGTGCTGCTTCATAGGCAGCTAAAGGACTGTTCAAAAGATAAAACCGCTGAAGCAGACATACAACAAAAACAAAAAAAGAGAAATACAATAACCTTTACAGCACTCCAACCCCAGCAGCAGCAGCAGCAACAGCAGCAGTAGCAGCAGCAGCAGCAACAGCAGCAGCAGCAACTCCTCAGCCATTCCTTGCACGCAGCACACAACAACAAATAGTATTAAGAGAACGAGACAGCAGCAAACACCAACATACCTGCAGAAGCGATGGTGTGGCTGCGGATGTTTGCTGCAGCAGCAGCAGATTTGCTGCTGCTCTTTCTTTCTGTTCAAGAAGCAAAGATGATAGAGGGAAAGAGTAAGGGTTGGGGCCGCCAGCTGCATACATCTGCATCTGCTGCAGCTGCTGCACTTGCTGCAGCCCCTGCTGCTGCTGCATCTGCTGCATCTGCTGCATCTGTTGCATCTGCAGAAACTGCTGCTGCTGCAGCAGCTGCTGCTGCAGCAACTGCTGCTTCATCCTCGGCTGCCTCTAAGAGGCTGAGGGAGAAGCAGCAGTGAAGCCTTCTTCTGGTGTTTAAATTATTCAAAGCTGTATATACACCGTAGTTTCCTTCTTCTTCTGCTTTGCAAGATGAAGGCAGCAAATGAATTATCTGTGGTTAGTCTATCAGAAGCTCCTCGGGTGTCTGTACAGCTGCATGCAGAACTCAGCAGCATGTTTAAAGCGTGCAGAATCTGCATCATTAGATTTAAATAAGTGCTGCTTTCATTTGAAGTCAACAGCAGCAAGGAACGCCAAAAGGTGTGTGTACACCCCAGCCAACAGTCAAACGGCTGCTCAGTGTTCAAAAGCAGCAAGAGGGAAGATTGAGGTTATTGATGTTGGTTTCTTTAATGAAATGACAGCTGAATATGAATTTAAAATGAAATAAAGAAATGAAAGGGAATAATGAAAGAAAAGAAGCTCTTTTCCTCGTTGGTTGCTGCACATGATGGGAAGGAAACCTGCGGCTTAATGCAGAAAGCAGGTGCTAAGAAGCCGAGAATAGGGATAAAATTAACTAAAAAGAGGAAATACCAGCATTAAAACATAAATATAATGAAAAGAAATATACAACAACGTTAAATATTCTGCGAAATAGTCATCGGTAATATTCTACAGATTGGCTGCAGCCCTGAGCTGAGCTGTATATACACCTCAACACTGCGCATAATTACCTCGTTTTTTTCCGTTTAAATTACCTTTTGAAGTATTATTACTTTTAATTTTCATGGTTTAAAGATTTTAATTTAAAAAACAATTTTTCGCTGCAGACTTCGACGTCGCTTCCCCCTACCGGCGAGCGGCAGCCGACAGACCATCGACAGATTTGTTATGGGTTCAATCGCGCACAATTTTTCGCGAAATTCAGCGAAATTTCGTGAAAATAATAAATTAAAATATAAACAAAGCCAATATAAGAGAAAAAAACAGGAAAAAAGATTAAAAAGTCATAACAAATGAATTTTTTCCTCCTTCACCGCATCTGCTTAGGCGCAGCCGACGGTCTGCCTGTCGATTTATTTCGGTGTTCGTTTGGCGGTGGTGTTTAATTATTTAATTATTTGATGTTTATCGCTTTCATTATTAGTAATAATAATAGTAGTGCTACTCTTATTCTTATTCTTATTCTTATTCTTATTCCTATTCTTATTCGTATCCCTTTTCTCGTTGTTATTGTTACTGTTATTGTTATTTGTAGTAGTAATAAGAGTAGTAGTATTCTTATTCTTTTATTATTTTTATTACTATTATTAATATTGTTAGTAGTAGTAGTAGTAGTATTATTCATATTCATATTGCCTTTATTATTATTATTATTATTATTATTATTATGATAATTATTATTATTATTACTGTTATTATTATTATTATTAATGGGTATGCTGCACAGAGACTACGAAATAAAAGAAATACCCCTAAAAGCATATGAGTATAATAGGTTAAGTAGCTGTGTATGTTAAATATTATTTTACTGCATCTTTATTATTTTATTTTATTTGTTTATTCTTCTTTCTTACCCGCCCAATTAATAAACAACACTTCGTCTTCTCTCTCTAATAAAAATTACTGCTATTAAAAATTAATTTTTTGTTTTTCTTTAGCTTTTAATATCTTCTCTAGTTCTCCAGGTGTTTGGCTGTGTAAATTTTATTAATTTATATTTTAATATATTATTTATATTAAACACGAATTTTATATTCTGCTGTTGCAGCAAGGCGTGCAGCAGATACAGAAAAGATGCAGCACTTTGAACTGTAGCTGCAGCAACTGCTGCTGCTGCTGCTGCTACTGCTGCTGCTGCTGTTGCTGCTGTTGCTGCTGCTGCAGCAATCCCTTCAGTAGCAGCTCGAACTGTGCGGTAGACAAGGCCTATCAAGCAAAGAAAACGAGGGTTTAGGGTTTAGGGTTTAGGGTTTAGGATGTTCTCAGGTAATTGATATATTTTATATTTATAATAATAAATAAATGAATAAAGATATTTCTTTTTCTTTACTTCTATAAAGGCCTAAAGAATTGCTTTGATTAATTCTTCTTAATTATTTTTTTGTCTTTTAATTAATCAAATTGCTGTCGAAGCTGCATCCATGTCTCTGGCTTCCACGTTGCATGCGATGACTGCCCCTTCATTCTTTTTAACTTTTCTCTCTCTTTCACGGTCTTCGCCTTCTTACGGGGCTGATCTTCTGCAGCAGACACACAGCAGCAGCAGCAGCAGCAGCAACAGCAGCAACAGCAGCAGCAGAAGCAGCAGCAGCATCGTATGGAAGCAGTAAAGAGACAAACATTTTATTTATTTGTTTAATAATGATGCGTAAATTAATACGGATACTAACACACAACTAAATTAACAATTAAAATAATTAATTTAAATATATAATTAAACAAAACAAACGAATAAATAAACATAATATAATAATATCTCTTTATTTTTCTGTCTTTGTTTAATAATAATGAGTCAAACACTAAAATACATCGATAAGCGGCTAAGTAAATAAATAATTAATTAATTTAAACAAACAAACAAACAAATAAATAAATAAATAAATAAATAAATAAATAAATATAACTATACCTGCTTGTTTTTCTTCTGTCTTTGTTTGCTTATACCCCCCAGGCCCCTCTATACCCACGAGAGGGACATGCCAGCCTACGCCTACAGGCAGGCCTACGTACACTGCAAATAAATAAACAAATAAATAATAAATAAATAATAAATAAATTAAATAATTAATTTATTTATTTATTTAAAGCAAATAAAGAGATTAGAATAGAAAGAAGAAGATATTTAAACATTATTTTGCTGTATTTGTTTGTCTTTGGTCTCTCCCTCTGTCTGTCATTCGCTGTTTACACTCTAAATAAATAAATAAATAAATATTTAAATATATATTTATATATATGTATATGTATATATACATACGCACACATATATATTTATCTATTTATACATATATATATACTATATGTATATGCATATATATAAACATATGCATATACATATATGCGTACACATATATATATACATAATATATATATATATATATATATATACATATTAAATAAACACATAATTATATTTATATGTCTTTCTCTAACTGCTTGTGTTTATATAAACATTGTTTATATAAACATCTATTGCTATGTCTGGCTGTCAATATAAATATCTTTTTCGTTGTTTTTTGTTATATATTATATTATACTTATATATTATATATATTTTTGTACAATAGTAAGAAGAGAGAGAGAGAGGGACAGCGAAGGAGAAAGAACAGCAGCAACATACCTTGCTGCTGCTTCTGTTTGCTCTGGTTTGAATTTGACCGAGGAGCAGCAGCAGCAGCAGCAGCAACATGCTGTATGTCTTCTACCGCTGCTGCTGCTGCTCTTGCTGCTGCCAGCTGCTCTTGCTGCTGCTTCTTCATCCGCACCTTCTTCTCTCCTTCTTCTAAAGCCTCCTCTACAGAAGGTAGACACACGGCAGCACGCTGCTGCTGCTGCTGCTGCTGCGAAGCTGCTGCACGGCGGCGACGACGGCCCTCTTTAAGAAGCAAATGCATGTTAAATTCTTCTTCATCCTCCTCTTGATCTGCTGCTGCTGCTGATGTTGTTGCTGCTGCTGCTGATGATGTTGCTGCTGCTGCGCCATTCGTTGCTACGGCTGCGCGCTCTCCCGGTGCGCCTGCTGCTGCATCGTCTGCTGCTGCAGCATCAGCATCATCATCATCAGCAGCAGCAGTTGCTGCTGCTGCTGCAGTATCTTCGGGGTCTTTAAAGAAATCGTTAGGAGAGGAAAGAGGCGAGCTTTCAGCGGAGCTCAACCCGTCTAGCTGCCGTTGTATACGAGATAATGCATCTTGCTGCAGCATTGCAACCTGCTGCTGCTGCTGCTGCACTCCCGCAGCAGCAGCAGCAGCACAAAAGAGAGGATAGGAGCAGTAAGAAGAGGGAAGCAGCAGCAGCAGCAGCAGCAGCAGCAAGATAAACCCAAACAAACAAACGAAGGCGCAGAAGAGGAGAAAGACAGGAAGCAAAGAGCAGCAGCACAAGGAGTTAAAAGAAGAAAGAAAGAAAAAAGAAAAAGAAGAGAGACACGAAAAAAAAGAAGACAAGATAAACAAAGAAAGATAAGAAACGCAATAATTCAAATTCAACACCAGAGTGTGCAGAAGCAAAGAAGGGAAACCAGCAGAAATAGAGAGATAATAAAGAATAAAATAAATAAATATAAATATAATTCAATAAATTAATAATAATATTCTTCTTTTTCTGAACAAAAATATTATTTTTATCAGATTTCCTCAACTTTGCAAATACAGAAACCTGCAAACAAACGAGAGAGCCAACAGACCCTGGGGGTATTCCCTGACTCTAATTGTTTGAATATTGAAGAAAATGAAGTTATAATAAATAAATTAATTAATATTTTGAATTAAAAACGAGAGAAAAACAAAGAAACAAACAAAATTATTGCATGCTGATCTGCATGCAGAGAGGAGCCGTCGGGTGTATATACACCTCGTGCTATCTTTTTCTTCTCTCAATTATAATTCTTCCTTTATTATTTACATTATATCTATTATTTGTTCTTCTATGTTTATATTATTATATTGTAATTGCTTAACGCCGCCTCTACAGCCAGCAGAAGCCTTTCGCTTTCTTTGAGCTGCACAGATTTGCTTCTTCTTTTTGTTTGTTTTATTTTCTTCTTTTAGAGGAATAAACAAACACAAATAAATATCAGCACAACGAAGAAATGAATGCATGCGCTCGCTGCCTTGGGGGCTGCGCAGCCTCGGCAGCCCCTACAAGGTCTTGTACAAGAGCGTTTGCTGCTGCTTCTGCTTCTGCTGCTGCTGCTGCTCCTGCTGCTGCTCCTGTAGCATTCCGCTATGCACCCATCTTTCAACTCCAAGGCCAACGCAACTGCAAATACCGCCGTCTCGATGACCTGAGCAAAGGTGCTGCTGCTGCTGCAACTTTTTGCTGCTGCTGCTGCAGTGCTTGTTGTTTGCTGTTCCTGCTGCCGCTGCAGTGTTGGCTGCTGCTGCGGTGTCTCCTGCAGTGCTTGCTGCTGCTGCTACTTCAGTCTTTGCTGCTTCAGCTGCTGCTGCAGTCGTTGCTGCTGCTGCTGCAGTCGTTGCTGCTGCTGCTGCAGTGTTTGCTACTGTTGCGGCTGCAGAGTGTGTTGTTTCTGTTGCTGCTAAACCCTAAACCCTAAACCCTAAAGAAAAATAGCCTAATCTTCATCTTCATAAATGTTTGAGTATAATACCCGCTTTGCATATGTGTGTCTTTGAATATATACATTAAATAATATATATAATGCATGCAAGCATGATTTATATTGTTTAAAAGATATTTTTTTCTGCTTTTTGTTTATAGAGGTGCGCGTACAGCAGATTGAAGGCATAGGAAGCATATTAAGGGTGCCGTCTTCGGTTCTAACATCTCTTTCTTATGAAGCGTTTACAGATGTTGAGCATTTGTTAAGACCTTCACATCTTCAGCAATTAAATAATATACTTTCAGACAAAGACAGCAGCGATAACGATAAAACTGTCGCACTGCAACTCCTCAAGAATGCATGCGTTGCTGCCGGCAGGTATGAATAAGAATATATTAAATAAATATATAAATAAATATATATATAATATAAATAAATAATAAATAGACATATATATATATATATAGTTAGGCGACGCTATTCTATCGAGATTATATATATATATATATATTATTTGTGTAATTGCGTTATTCTTGTTGTATATATATAATGTATAAGCATATATATATACATATATATATATATATATACATGTATATATATATATTATTTATTAGTATAATTGTTGTATATATAATGTATAAACATATATATATACATAAACGTATATATATATAATTGAAGAATTTATTTATAAATTTTTGATGATAAATATTGTCGATAATTTCGTCGTTTTGTATATCCCTTGTAAATAAATATCTGTGTATATATATAAATAAATAAATATATATTAGAATTATTAATTTAATTTAGTTTAATTTAATTTAATTTATTATTGTTTATTAGGAAATTACCCGGCTGTCAAGACACAGGGACAGCAATAGTAGTTGCGAAGAAAGGTCAACGCGTGTTTACTGATGAAGATGATGAAGAAGCTCTATCTAAAGGTGCTTTTCTTGCTTATACTCGAGGCAATCTTCGTTATAGTCAGGTATTATTTATTTTATTATATTATTCTTTTAATTCTCTTCATTTTGACTGCTTATTTGTTTATTTATCTGTTGTTTTTATCATATTGTTGTCTTGATTAATATGTAAATGTGTTGTTATATTTATTTTTTATTGTTTAGAGAGGATTATTTATTTATTTATTTATAAATAAATAATGAGCTGAAAATATATTTGTTTAGTAATAAATAATATATATATAGTA